GATATTACATTGATCTGCTATTGGTCACAAATATTCATCAGAAGAGCCGGAATAACAATTTATTCAATTAAAATCTTGTAAAATTACTTTTTTTAACTTTTACCCTTTATTGCTTACACCTTTGCCAAGTAAAGGTTCAGCTGGTATTTTTATCGCAGTCATGTGCTGCTTATCTTATGATAGCAAAGTCATAAGAATAAAGGTGATGGCTGGTTATGAATTTATACAATTTCGCCCTTTACTATCAAATATAATTGTTAAAAGAATCTAATTTTATTTGTTTATAAGATATCCGTGGTGGGCATTAATAATTAGTCTACCCTACCCATAAACATACAAATGTGTTTTTTTAATGTAAGTAATCAGTAATTTTTGATTGATTTCTTTACATAATTTTATTGTAAAACAGTCCCTGGTGCTATTGTGCACAAAAAGACATAGCAATTGCTTTCGTATACTTGGCCACATCATGTAAAATCATGTTGGTCATTTAATTGGACATATTTTTTGCAAAATGGGTCATTATAAACGACATGTCAAGTAAGCGATGTCAATATATCCGACTAGACAGCTGTTTTTTTAAGAAATTTTATATGGAAACCAAATTCCTAGTGCGACTACGTCATATTAAGCGGGTTGTCAATATTAAGCGTCATACTAATCGGATTTTACTGTTATATATATATATTAATATATATATAATATATATATATATATAAATTGATATATATTGATTCATTGATATAAGGTAAAACAGTTAATCATCAAAATAAATTGAAAATTTATTTCAGTTTATATGTTTCGAGACCAGATGTATCTCCTTATTTAGGAAACTAGGTGAAAAGACTAAGAATGAAAACAAACTAGTATGATTAACTACTAAAAAAAACTGTAATCCTAATTGTAGGAACAACAAATAAGTTCATTGAAACAACCGTTGTAAAACTATAATAATACTTAAAATCATTTAAAATTTTTAGAATTTTCTACAAATTTAAGTAGTTTAATAGATTTACAATGGTTGTTCAATGTACTTATTTGCTGTTCCTACAAGTTTTTTTTTAAATAATAATTGCATTAGTTTGTTTTACTCTTAATTTTTTCTCCTGGTTTACTGGATGATGGGGACAAAATTGATATCGAAAACTAATATGAATTTTATTTTATTGGGTTTACTCACATGTATTTATGATAAATTAAAGCTTTTCATAAATGCATATTGTATTTTATAACTATGAAGTTCTTAAATGTAGGTCGCAGATTATATATTTTATTATTAAAAGTTGTAATATATTAATTCAAAATGAGTTCCTAAAATTATTATTGCATAATGGTATAATAATAAAATTATTACCTTAGATTTTGACCAGTTGATTTTGTTACTTCTTGCTTTTCAAATGGTCACAACTTTTACATTGATCACAAATTCATGCTTGGCTTTTCCTTTAGTGCTGATATAGCTTCTTGTTTTAAAGACTGGTAATACAAATACAATGAATCATCGAATAATTATATTATACAAATGGACACTATGAAAATTCTCTTACACTAAGAATCTCCTCACGTCTTGAAAGTTGGTTGTGAATATGTCCTAATTCATCAGCTAATTCCTGTAAATGATTTTGTTTGCGTTTTAAATTAGCTTCGATTTGCTGTTTTTGTGTTATAACCGAACTTCAGCTTCATTTAATTT